GGCGCTGTAATCACTCATCTGGTTACGTTATTGACCGCCCCCCGACCCAAAAAATGGGCTTCCCCTACATTTTTCCCCACGCCACGCTACTGCTTAAATATCTGCCACAACATAAGTAACCGGATCAGAGTAACATTAAGTACAGTCCGCGGCATATCACTTCATAATGTATCATATATTTTCTTATCTGAGTCAGCTGAGCCCTATCTGGCCTTGCAACACTCACAGTGTCACATAGGCCTACTGTATGCAGAAGTATTATTTTAAACAACACATTAAGTTGACGAAACACTCGAGACAAATGTAATTAAAGTCAAATCGTGTTTTAGACGGGGCAGTGATATCATAAACCTGTTAATGTACGCATTCAAACACTTTTTCTTTTGCCAGCTGTATTCACCTTGCAGGTGCAACTATGTGCCTTTTATCCTGGATAAAGTGTTTAAGTCATGGATGTTTAAAGTTTAACTTCTTCATTTTTGACTAGTATTAAAGTTCACTTTTCATTCAGGAAGTATGACGCTGCGCTGTCAGTGCGCTTCTCCATGTTTGTGATTGGTCGAATGCCCCAGGTCATGTTATTTAATGCCATGACAATGAAAACAGTTCTTAATTTGAGATAAAAAGGAATAGTTCCACATCTCCAGGCTTTTTTTTATGAGATCAAATGAATTCTATTCATCCCTAAGAGACTGCAATTAATTAGGTTAAACAATTATGTGTGACCTATTTTATCAAAAGTGTTTCGCCAACGGAAACATTGTGCATTACATGGTGTAATCTTGCTCTGTTGTAGTAAACATCTCTTTGCTGAAGGGGTTTGAGAGGCACAAACTAATCCCTGTCCATGGCCATCTGAATCACTGTGATGTAAATTCATCTGATCCTGTGTTTGCATCGCTGTCTTACTAAAAGGACTGTACATTGCCATCCTCTGCCCTTTGTCTGGACTGACAGGAAACTGAGCTGCTGTTTTAGATGTCATGATTATTATTATTTTATTAGCAGATGTCTGGAAATACCTTGCAAAACATGTCATAATACTGTATGTTCCATAGGTCTCTTAAATGGGTAAATAAGTCAATAACAATTCTGACATAAATTGTCTCCTTGATTGCAGTCTGGTGACATTTAAGTTTGGCGTCACCTCCATTAACTTTAGCTGGCAGACTGACTAAGCTAGGCAAACTACAAATGTCACAAAACAAATTGAGCTGTGTAAAAGTAGAGATAAAATTGATCAATAAGAAACTAAATGTCACCAAATCTATTACTGATATTTGATTCTCTAATGTGAACGAGATAGAAACAAAATATTACATTGTTTGACTGAAGGTTTAACAGTAAGATGAAAGCAGTGTTTCAGTGCCTAATAAAAATATGACTACGGCAATAAGTTGATGGAAGTTTGTGACACTTGGTTGCATAAGGCTCTTGTATTTCAAATATGCACAACCATTTCTGTGTGAGCATTTCTTTATCATTGCTGCATTTTAATGAACGAAAGGTAAGGCCTTAGTTAATACATCTGAAGATGAAGCATTGCCCAGGGTGTACCATATGAGGCGACAGATTCAGGCCGTTTTCAGTGTCCCTTCTGTCATCGCTAGCTTCAGCCAATGGAGGATCCTCTCCAAACGTCCTATGACACCCGGCAATATGAAATGCTGGAGAGAGAGAGAGAGAGAGAGAGAGAGAGAGAGAGAGAGAGAGAGAGAGAGAGAGATTGCACCTCTCAGGCTGATTGCTCACATGGGTGAAAATTCATTTTGGTTAACCATCCCTTCTTGGCGTGATAGGCTGAACTAATGGCCCATAAGCACACTTGATTACACAACGGTGGTGAGACTGATTGGTGGAAATACGGAATAGCTTCTGGGGAATGTTACTTCAATAAGTAATTTCCACACATCAAAATCAAAGGTGGGTTGCTTTCTAAAGTCAGAATCGAAGGCCCCGGCCACACGAGGACGAAAACGGCTAAACGCATAGGATTAACGCAAACGCAATCGCAAAAAAGCTTCCGTCCACACGCAATATTCACCGGATAGTGTCTGTCCACACGAGACAGCTCCGTTTAGCTCCAACCGCTGGAGAAGCTGCAGTACATATGCAGGAGCCTGTACGTGTCGCTGTAACTTCCTCCACAAAAGCAGCGAAGAAGCATGGTTCTCATGGTTGCCCTTCTGTTTATTATCCGCGGTGGGGGCCGAGGGAACCGGGCAGAGTTTTTCGCCAGTCAACGTGTTTAAATCTTCCGACAAAATGATTAAAGTGCCGGTCAAAGGTCTTCATTGTTATTTATTGAGCTTTAAAACAAATAAATAACGAATCTATATAATATAATAATAAAATACACGGAGCCTCTATTTTTCCTCCCTCTCTTCGGACAGCGCCAGTGTCTGTTTCATGCAGCAGCTGATCCAGTAATGAGTGACCTGGCCGACAGTAAAAATAAACATATTTATAACTAGTTTAGGTAGTTTGAGAGGTGTCTCCGTCCTGTCAGATTAGACTTCACTCGCGTTTATGTCCATATCGAGAGAAAGATAAATAATCTGAATTCAGTGTGCAGTTTACTTTGACACGGGGGTGAGCAGCAGAGGTGGGGAGAGGCGGGGCTATTGCCTCATCATTATCAGAAAAATGATCGTATAGGACGCACACACGGAGCCGTTGGACCCCCCAGAGCGTTGCGTATGCCGTTCTATCCACCTTGGGGCCCGTTATCGTTTCCGCAGTCGTTTAGTGCCGTATTCGGTCGTCCTCGTGTGGCCGAACGGTCTATATGACACTAAACAGTAACGCAAACGACCGTTTTCGTCCTCGTGTGGCCGGGGCCTAAATACATGTTTCGTATTTTTTCAACCTAGTTACACACGTATTAATAATACTCTTATATCAAGGTATAAAAAGTTCAAAAGCAATAAATGGAAACCAACCTCAGGCTGCAGCTTCACAAGTGAAAGGTTTGCCATGTAGCCATGGGATAATCCTAACCTTTAATAAGTCATTGGTCTCAAATTAAAGGGTAAAACTACAAAAAGGGGGACTCATTAAGGTTATGAAAATCTTTTTATTGTGGGTGAAAGTCAAACAGCAAAAGGGTGCTGTTATATGAAAGAAACGTGTAAATTATTCCGCAGATATACAGGGAAATATATGTAAAACTGAAATAGGGAAATGTATTTATATTTGATTTCAACGAGCAATGCCTAAAAGTGCATGCATTATTCTGTTTCATAGGCAAAATAATATTTGTATCAGAATATCTCACTTTCAAATTGTGGATATCTAATTTAATAACTAAATCCTTCTGTCATTAAAGGAAAGAGGATGAAGGAGACGTAACATAAGATGGCTTAATTTGTGAACACCTTTAAGCTGTAGAGGGACAGTAACTCACACACTCCTATCTCCAAAATTCCAGGAATTGTAACTGCTTTTCTCATTTAATTTCATCCTATTAGATAGTTTCATATTCAATCTAATCATTCTGAGGAAATGTTGCTCTTTAAATAGCTTCAAGATCAATCTGTGGACATAGCTTTAATCTCGACAAATGCAGAGTTACAATATGTATGTATCTGTATCTCACATGTTGTAAAATATGATGACTGCTGGCAATGTGCACTTACAGTAAATACTGTTGCATATCATAACCCAAGCTGTAAACTGTCCATTAATCATACACGCATGCATGCATGCATGTGAGACAAAGAATAATAGTCTCCCCCCCCCAAGAGTAATCTTGTTAGGAAGGCCTTTCGTATCTTTATTCTTTGGTTGCCATCATGCCGAAGACTTTTTCAAACCAAAATAGAAATGATCACAGATATATATCAACAGTAGCAAACACACAAGGACTGCTGGAGGTGAGACATGAACTCTAAGAGTGGTCCAACTGGCTTTTCACGAAGAACAGATGTGTCAACTAACCATGAGCCATCTGATGCACCTTTACAGCAGATGGTGAGCCACCCCTCTCCTCTATGATACTGTTTGGACCAGTGTGTGTGGGTGGAGTGTAGGTGGAGTACGACGGGAGCAGAGTGGGATTTTTGCCTTGAGCAAAGAGCTTTTTTTTAAGGAAGTGTTCCCTGTCACTTCAAGGTACCACCATCCATCCCATGAGTTTTACACATCATGTACATTCTACAGTGTAATGCATGGAGGTAACAACACAGGTTTAGAGATCTGAGATGAGACTAAAATAGTGACAGTGAACTATTCATGTTCCCAAAGAGAAGTCCCTCTGGAATCATAGGACCGCATGGCTTCCTTTATATTTCACTGAAAAAACATGTTTCCTCCTGTGTGTGACAACACTAGCAGGTAATGCTGCTTTACCTGAAAAGCAGAAATGATACATTTGAAGATGTGACCGAAAATAGATTATATCTAAAAAGTCTCTGTTGATGTGTTTAATGTGTGTGTGTGTGTGTTTGTATGTGTGCGTGTGCATGTGTGTGTGTGTGTACTTTGCACATCTCAAGAACCGTTCATTTGATCTAATTTACTCAGCAGCTGTATTGCTGGGGACTCAAGGCTGTGTTATGTTAAACTGCACCTTTTCTGACCTGTTTCATTTTAATACACTTTCAATACACAAGCAAACTTTCCTCTGTGCAATGATGTAGGCGTTTTGGATCTTGTATTAAGCAGTTCACAGACCAGTAGTCACTAGACTACATCACTAAGTCTGTGTCCTGACCTGGTCAACAAGTTCAGGGGCATCACAAACTCCAGCACAGCTACACCCAGGCTCAACCTGAGCAGAAGACTAATCTCCCTCTGACGTGAACTCTGGTATTTTAGCATGTGCAGACCATTTACATGCAAACACTACATGAGAGGAAAACCCCCCAAAGCATAAAAAGGGCTCCTTTACTTTATTACATGTAATAAAGTAGTTTTAATTAAAAAAAAAAACTTGTTCAGCGATGCTTTCTTCAGGATAAGGGCTGCTCAAGCAAAAATAAATGACAAACACTTTGAGATAACAAGAGATCAGCCACTTTTATTTAGAAAGAGTCCCAAAAAATAAACAAGTCAGCACACATTCCATATACAAAATGTCAGTGAGAATAGCCTGAATATGCGATGGAATTTGATAAGCAACTACATGTTTATATTGTTTAAAAAACAACAGTAATAATATTAATACAGTTTAACTTGTGTGTTGCAGTTGAAGACTCGTCATAAGTCAATTTTAGAAAAAATAAAACAAAGTGTGTCTTATAATTAAAAGTGCTTGTCTGCATAAGTTTTCTAAATAACTTATGTTGGGACTAAATAGCTAAAAAAAAACATTAGTTTAATAAGTAACCAAATTTAGTATTTAAAGGAAGCAGAGTCGCTTTGATGAAAAGGGGCTATCATTTTTCATATTCAAACTTTTTGTATAAAATATATGTATATATGTATATATTGTATATATGTCTAACATTATATTTCCAATTTCAAACAATTAACCTCACAACTTCAACATTTAAATGAAAATGCATGTTTGGCAGTAATGAAATAAACGTATGTAATATTTTCTGCAACAACATGCAACTGGTGCTACTTTATTGTCAGATCAATGCAAAATACATGGAGAAACAAAGCGTAAAGGCTATTGTATTAGCACTGTCATTGCCACCAACTGTACATCTAGTTACAAAAAATTACAGAATGTATAATTTACATTCACTGAGATGACAGTGATTGATTATATTAGGACTATATTCATATCTACTGGCACTAGATTTTGGCACTGTCACTTATTTGGCATTTAAAACCACTGTGTAGATGTCGATGCCTCTTTTTGATGTCACTTTAAAATGTGATGCGATAATACTGTACTATTTTTTTGTTTTGCATTGATGGCATGTAAACAGTTCAATTTCCTTTTTCAAAGTAGAACAACCCTGGTTCTCGGCAGAAAAAATACAAACAACAAAAGCGCGGAAGCAAAACAAAAAGACAAAAGTATAAAGCAAAATTGCTGTACCAACTCTAACAAGTAAAACGTAGAAGGATTGATTCCAAATGTCAAGCATTGACATATATTTCATATCAACACCAAATGTTAAAGAATAAAATATACAGGAAAAGTTTAGAGTAAGAATTAATTACATGATTTCAACATCTCAGCCCCATATGCAATGTGTTTGGCTTTAAAAATATGGAACTATAAGCTGTTTAGTATTTTATTCCTTTTGAATACTCACACATTAAGATGTTATATCCAACCAGTATGTAAGCAAGTTTATTTAAAAGCTATTTTGTGAAAATACATAAAAATACTTTTTTTCAATAAACTTTTTTTTAGATTTTCTTAGAAAAAAAAGGACATTTTCACATCTTAATGCAGATGATATCAAGTGTGTTTGAAAATCCTGTTCGGCGGTGGGGGCTACAGAAACAGTGTGATTTTGATGAAATCTTCCTCTGACACACACCCGAGCTCTTCACACACACACACACGCACACGCACACACACACACAGTTGAGATGACTGAAACTCGGACTCCCAGAAGCAGCCGTTGCCGTCAATCAAGCCCTCGTCTCTGTTTCAGTCCAGTCCAGACAGTAAGATAGGAAAGCGTGGTGTCATCAGTTTAGAAAAAAAGAGCCTCCCTTTTATATTCCGAGATGTAATTCCACCCAGAGAGAAAGAGGGGTTTTATACGGTGAGAAATAGAGACAGAGAGCAACAATACAAGTCTTTGTGAGCCACAAAATGAAGCCTCCATCTTTTTCCTTTTTCACCAGACAGACAGAAAAAGCCGCAGAACAGAAGGAGGGAGGGCAGGACGGAAAAGAAAAAAAAACACTCTATTGAAACCATTGTAAGGCACTCAGAAGTTTCTCATTGATCAGGACAGATCTGTCAGGCTGACGTTTAGTCCCATGTCAGGTCTCGCGTACGGGACAGCGTGGACAGATTTAGGAAACTCTGGAGTCATCACCCGACCATTCTCCCCGTTACTCCCAGTGACGGAAAGTCTTGCTTTGTTCCTCATGGCGTCCCCAAAGGTCATCTAAATACACAAATGTCACATGTACGCGCACACACAATCCAGCACAAACATTAACACATTCACACCCACAAGGATCCATAAACAAACAAGGAGGCAACATGTTAGGTTAGGGTATCTCAACATATGTAAGCTTAAAAGATTATAAAATGTTGAAAACTTGACAATGTAGATGAGAACCAAATATGATCTCGATGGGTAACACAATGCAAGATTAAAATGATCATGTAAATGCTTATGCATGGTCATTACAAGCATTATTGTTGAAATGCGTTACTAGGACAGAGGTATTAACAAGCATGGCCATCAACAGTCATACATGAAAATGGTTCAAAATAGTAAGGAAACTTAAATGCACGAACACAGTTTTAGTCTTTAAAAAAGGTAATAGCTTTCTCTCTCTCTCTCATTAAATCATAAGTCACCAGTACATACGATCCTGTGGCCAACCTCTTCATTCACTAACACTGAAGGATGGAACGGATGGAGCCAAAAAAGCGTGCATTTGGGGAAATTTATGAAAACCTCGTTCCCTACCCCCTAAATTTTTACACTTTCGATCCCATATACGTTGTAACCTTCCTTATAAGTTGCAAAATTCTGGGAATTCTGCGAGGAAGGTGGGTTAATATTCTGTGCATTCTTTGCCACCTTCATTCGCTTGGCCTCGGCTCGGGACTTGTAACAGAACTCAATCAAGGCCACCAGCATGGCCAAGCCGAGTCCTCCGACCAGAATGTAGAACACCCCAGCCACGTTGCTCAGGCTGAGAGCGCTGGTCTTCTCCTGTGAAATGCATACGAGACAGAGGTTAGCGGAAGGGCAAAAGTGAAAGTTGAAAAATGTTTTTAAATGCACATGAATAAAACAATCACAACAAATACTATAAATGCACAAAAATGCACCACTACATCTAATAATGATAATACATTTGTTTGACAGCCAATAATATCTAAAAAGCACAGAAATTAACAAGACATAACACACAGGTGCTTTTTCATTTGGGGTCAATTTAAAGCAGTGTAGGTTGGTTAGTACTGTAATCATAATGAAATGCAGCAACAGTTTGTATGCAGTGCATATACAGTCTATGTGTTGTGGATCTACATCCGAAATTTGTACTGTACAAGGACCATTTACATGGGTTGCCCATAACAAAGGGCTAAGCTGTTACAAACGTGCTCAAAGACCTTTACTTATAGACAGAGACAAGGAGGAAGACAGCTTAGTAATAAACCAATTGGGGTCTGACACATACAGTACAGTGAGTTCTTTTAGCGCGTTAAACACCCATGTATTCATTTAAGGTGGATGCCAAATGGATACATAGGGCTCTACCTTTTCAAAGTGGTGCACAATATATGTGTGTTTGGAAAAGTGACAACAGAACAGCCATAGACAACACAGTTACAATTACACGGTTTAAAAATTGGGACTAGTGACAAGACAGAGGTGAGTATCAATTATCAAGGAAAAGAAACAAGTGCCAACTGAGGAAAGAGAATCACTCAGAACTAAGTACTTCATTTTTTCACACGGATCGTTTCATTAATAATTGATTTCATGAAGCTTAACATTGGGAAAAAAGGTAGGTGAAGGAGCGGTTTGCTAGTTGTTTGTTTTTATGGTGGGTTTTTTCATAATTTGTGATATATTTTAAGTGATAAGAGTGAGAGGTAACTGTGAAATCAGTGTGAACTCCATTAATAACACACTTAGATCAACACGAGGCCACGCAAACATAAATAAACAAAAACAAGACTCACACACGGTACTACACAGTGAAAGACAGTGGTACGAATACAACAGAGGACAGTTAACACCATTGGACACCCTTTATAGATGGTCCAGAGATTAGCCAATCACTGTCAGATTTCAGTATTCAGTATTGCTGTGAGCGTTTCCTTTGTGTAGCTGTGTCCAAATGTTTTAATTGATTAATATCTCATGAATGCTTTTTTGTAAGAAAAAAGCTTTCCATTTCATTTGTCTTTGAATATTGGGGAGCTGGAAAAAGAGGATTTAACGGGTCATTTTGATAAAAAGTGCACATTTCAAGAATGACATTGCATGCATTACTGTATTATAAAATAATATAAATGGTATTAATCATTAGTAAGTCTGCAGGCATTAGTAAATTACATCTTACCAAGGCATCTCATGCTTTGTTTGTGCATTTGCTTGAAATGATTTATCATTACTTTAAATGGGGTCATTCCCACTAATAATTATGAGTGTGCTTGAATCACATAGAACCTGCAGTGACTAACCTTACTTCCAGAGTCCTTGGCTCCACATTCACCCTTATCGTACCACCATTTGTTTTTCAGCTTGTCTAAGACTCCTTGCTCACTGAGTTTCAATACCGCAAGGTTTACTGGCGTTCTTCACGTGGAAAATAACATAAATAACATTATCAATGTTATTTTATGTTATTATTACATTAACACTGATTAAACTTTTTTTTCTGTCTTTGATTCTCTTTCTTACATTTCTTTCTCTTCTTTCCGTTGCAGTGGCGATAAACGTTGATGCGCCATTTGGCCTAAGCAAATACGAGTTTTGCAGAGCCAAATGTGCATTAACGTATCGCCTGAAGTAAGCAGCAAAGGCAACAGATATACCGTATATCCAAGTTCAGTGGGCCAATGGGAAGAGGCTGAGCTAATGAGTTCAAGGTAGATGTCTTGTACTTTCTTTGGAGACCTGATTGTCAGCACGTGCTGACGATTCACGGTGCTGAGGGTTGCTTTCTGTGGCGCTGAGTCAGCAGGTGACTGGCCTGCTGTCAGTGTGGATCGGGATCTGTGCTGGTTTGCTGCTTACTTTTGGGAGTTGCAATGAGTTACCCATCACTTTGCTCACTGGGGCTGACCTTGGAATCACCTCCCCCGCTGCCGCACTCTCCTTTGTCGTACCACCATTTGTTTTTCAATTTGTCCAACAGGCCTTGCTCATTCAGTTTTAGTACTGCGAGGTTAACCGCATTTCTTGAAACGATAAAACATACTTGTAAGACAGGGTGAGCCACTTATCAATCGTCTGTCTATCACTCCCTCATTTTAGAGATAAATTAGTAGATTTATGTATATTATCCCCCCTCCCCTCTCATAGTATTTGGGTAGTTCTATCACAAAATAGCTATCCTATAATCAAGATCACGTGTAACATGAATGTTTGTCAAAGGTGGCAGAGCATAGCTGTAACACAACAGAGAGGACAGAGTGCTAAGACTAGGGGGACTAGTGGCTACAGCAACGTACTCACATCCACAACATACATATAACAGTGTCTGGCAAGTGACTCCACTAAAAGAGAGACAGCAAAACAGCAGTAATGGGGGAAACATGGTTAGACCTCACGGAAATATGTCAGAAACATGCAACATTTCCCAAATAAATTACCATCTAACCCAACTACCCATTAAATAATAGTTTGGTGAGGGAGTTTTTGGTGCAGCTGATCCAATTGAGGGGCACACTGAGAACAAAGCTATAATAGATATCTAAATGGCTTCAATAATCAGAATTCAACAATGCATACATAATACATATTGAAACCCAAGCAGTGCCACAAATAAAAGGCGGTATATATTTTGAGTTTCGTCCAATTGTTTTCCACAAAGGAAAAAGTCATTATGTCATTAAATAAAATGAGTGTACTGCAAGGGTTTAGCAAATCACAGTAAGAAAATAGACATTTATCTATACATTCCTAAAATATCTTATCATATATACAAACTATGCAACAATTCAACATTATTCAAATGAGAGAAAGAGCAGAACAGTAAGGCAAATTGTTAAGCATATAGAAACATATAAAAAGACAAGCTAGGACAGTACTAGACATAAAGACTATAGGAGAGCAATCTAAATTTAGATGATGGGAGCATTATAAAAGGTTCAAATCCGGATTAATAAGAGTATATAGGAGTAATAAAATATGATAAATCTCAAAAACCCAGCTGAAAACCAGCCTGGATTAGAGGAATGAGTCTCAATATACTCTGTAATTTGTTAATAGTAATAATTTGGGAAAATATTGCAGCAAATTTGTCAATAATCAAATATCAAAAAAAATGACTAAACATTTTTTTGCAATTTATCGACTTACAATAAATTGCAATGGGTTTTAAAGAATTTGAAGGGGAATTGGCTTTACCTCATCTCCTTATACAAACCAGAGACAAATAAGCAAAGCTACATCAGGGTAGGTGGGATACTATAACAACATTGGACACATTGTTATACTATTCCACCCACCTTAATGAGGATCCTTTCGGCGTAGCGATCCCGTATCCTTTGGAGTCGAGGTTTCCTCCAACCTTCATGGTGTCGCAGGGTTTCCGCTGCTCGATGTACTCGTTCATGGTGGACTCCAGCAGGTAGGCGTACTTCCCCTTAGACTTGCGGACTCTCACAACGCCCTCGGCTGTGGTTTTCACAAACACAGAGGGCTCCGCACTGCGCATGTATGTCCACATTTTGTCAAAGAGGGCAATTTTTGAGCGCTGTTTTGAAAAAAAGAAAAAGGAAAAGACACCTTTTCTTAATAAAGTCAAGTTATATCAGCTTTTAGACACATTAGGATTTGCTCCAAACTAAATTGAATGGTATGCTGATGTTACTTTAGGTTGAGTAAGGCATCAATTGACTATATATTTTGGGGTAAAACCTTACTGCGTACAGGAAATTCATGATACCCCTAAGATTTCATTTCCAGCACAAGGAAGTATTTTCAGCGAAAAACAAGGTTCAGCAAGAAGTAAAGTATGCTGTGTTAAAGTTTTAAGTCTTAAACCTAAAGCCTTGTTTCTACAGTAATAGAATAAGAGAGTATCTCTTACCCTAAAAAACTCTTTGGTAGAGCCAGAGTCCAGAGTCCCATAGGCTATCTCACTCTGTTTGGCAAGATCCTCTGCACTTTCAATGGGCGAGACCATCCTCTCGACAGTCAGGAAAGCAGCCAGGTTGGCGGTATAGGAGGAGATGATGATTAAAGTGAAGAACCACCAAACGCCCCCAACAATGCGCCCAGACAGAGATCTATTGGAAAAACAAATCAATATATTTTGATTTGTGTTTGTTATGATTCCATAGTACATTACATGTAACGGTATTTCAAATATTATTCAGTATCAACGAAAGATTCTGCAACTGTAGTGAGTGGATGGACGAGATTTCATTAAAGTTTTATTTTTGTTAACAGGATTTCTTAATGGATTTTGATAAGAAATTCAAGTGATAGCCTTTGAATTACTAGGTAGAAACGTCTTGCTTCAGTTGGAGAAATAACCTTGCATTATATAATAATAAACAACACAGTCTCCTGATCGGGAGGCATGTTGACACTCCTCACATCACCGGGATGAGATGTAGATGACATGTTGAATCATCTCCGGGGAAAACAAGACTCTTACATTACTTACAAGTGCCTGCTCTCACAAGATATTAAATCTTTATACGCAAAAGTGTATCTGACACTAAATTAATGAAGAAGAACCATTTACTTAACTCCATTATTTAGCACTGCAGGACATACATAACTTGTATCTTGAACGTACAAAATGAAAGCATGAGCAATCACAGAGTCACCTTTTAGGCATGTTTGAATAAAGTATAGGACAGCAGGAATGCCTCTGGCAAGCATACATTGAGATATGAACAGTCCTTCTTGTGGACCTCGAGGTTAACCTCACTACCGAAAAACTAGATGTTTTATTGTAGTTTGGAAGATTCCTGGCAGGAAAAATTCTTAGCTAAACTAGATCGTTTGTTTGATTTCAAGTGGCAAAGTAACCCTGAGAAGCAACATGTTAGGGGTAGGCTGAAAGCAAAACAAAAAACGACTTATTTCTGCGGCTAGCTCATGGAAAAGTTTGGCTTATTTGATGCCAATCCAGTAGCACTATAATTGGTCTTATTGAAAGCTATCTTCATGGTTTATTCTACTGTTATATTGTCAGTTGCTTTGGACCAAAGGTAAATTAAGTGTAATGTAATGAAAATGTGTAGAAAGGCATTCCGAAGTTAATCATCCTTCTTTTGCTTTGATTCTAGTCCATCAATTGACCAGGTGCATGTTGCGAAAAATTATTGTTACAGTGGATGAAGGAGGAGGAGGAGGAGGAGGAGGAGGAGGAGGAGGAGGGGTGTCTAAAGTCAAAGATCAATCTTGATTGGGCCAAATTTGACCCAGAGTGACCCAAAACAATTCTGCTGGGTCTCCCCAGACCCGAACACCAAATTATACACTTTTTTTTAAGTGACCTTCAGACTTGGCTAAAATGGTCAAAATCAGTTTTGTAGTGTCTATATAGCTGTTGTGGAGGACATCATGAAGCCTTGTTCCGATAAAAAAAACTAGAGCGTAGTTATTATATAATTCTAACTTGAAACGGGTCACGGGAGACCCGAACACAACATAAGGGTTAAGTCACATTTGCAAAATCACAGCTGTCAACAACCTCTGTAAGAAATGCAATAAAGCACACTTACATTCAAGTGACAAGTTATTTGTGGTTGATTAAACTGAGAAAACACTGCAGCTGTTGTATTGTCTGACCTACCTAGGTGAGATGTCACAGCCTTGGCGCATGAAGGCTCCAAGGGAGAACCACAGGCTGTTGAATATGCCAAACTCATTCGTCGACTCATTGGTCTGGATCTGCCCGTCCTCATACTCCTCAGTGTGCCACTCGTACGGGCTGAAGCGGCTGACAAGGAACAGCACCACGCTTACGCCTATGTAGGCAAACACGATACACATCCAGATCTCGTAGGCCAGCGGGTCCAGGAAAGAAAAGACACCAGGTTTGGATTTCTGAGGCTTTTTTATCATGATGGAGATTCCCAGAGACATGAAGGGTTTGGAGAAGTCAATCACTTCCTCTCGTACCAAAGTGATGGTCAGAGGAGCCACTGCAATGTCAGCTTTCTATAAAACCAAAACGGAATATTTAGAATAGGTGCAATGTGGTGTTGATCAATGACTCATGTTACCTTTTGTTAAAGACCACTCACCCCGTACACCAGCTCTCCAACCATCCCGTTCCAGATTTTGGTCTCCGCATCTCTGGCTCCGTATTTCCCATCACTCACTATTTTCAGTTGATATTTGAAGCCGCAGTGCTTCGCTATCTCCGCAGCCAGATCTACACAGTAACCCTCGTAGCGCTCATTGTCAGTAAACTGTTCAGAGTTCTTTTTCAGCATTACATATGGAGCTTCCTGAAGGACAAAGACGAAAACAGAAAACACTGCTCAGCACAAATAACAATGGTAAAAGCAGCTTTAAAAACAAATGATTCACTTCAGGCTGACAGTTCATTGTGACTAGAAGAAAGCGAGGGTCTAAAACAAAGCATAGTTGTAAATAAGTGGCCTGGTGGTAAACTGGTTGTCAATCTGATAACATAATTTATACAGAAATGATGTGCTACAACAAAACAGAAGAAACCTCTCCATAATGGAAAATGTGAGATTGAAAATACCTAAATCATGTTGGCTAGGCAAATTCACTCTCAATGAATGTAAACAACGTTTAAATGTATCTTTTGTTTTGTCCAAGGCATTGAAAAATGTGCGACAGTAAGAGCTGTATCCCAAGCTACTCGACACCAGAAAGGGAGACCCTGAAAGACAATGAAAGCCGTTTATACAAGCAATCATATATTTTAATATTTACCAAGATTGTGGTGACAATCACTGTTTTGTTTTCCATTCCTGTCGATTCATTTGCAAAGACATCAGATTTGGTGACGGCCATTTTGTCAACTTCATTCCAGTAGCCAATCTGTTGGGAAGAAAACCAAAAATATCATGAAACATGTGTATGTAATTGAGTACTACTGTAAAAGTGCTATTTTACATAATCTGATCCTCAAATTGAAACCATCCATATGATAAAGAAATATCCAATAACATTTGTAAATCCCTTCATTTCTAGAGGAGTGGAATGGACGCTTACCTTTACAGGGCCGTTAGTCTTTAACTCCATTATGTTCACTGAGTAGTTGACTCTCTTGCCATGTTGATCAAACTGGATGTTTCCTGTCAGGCCTTCCACACGCACCTTAGAGACATGAAATCAAACTGTTAGAAAAATGCATCTGCAGAGTGACATTATGACTGCTCTGTCACATGCAAACAGCTTTTTGATGTATGTTGTATTATTCATCATACTGCATTCAAAGAAATGCTAATGCTAAAAAGACGTAGCTAATCTGGAGGAAGACATTACAGCTTGGAAGAAGTCTCTTATTATCCATGAGGAACAGTTGAGAGTGGTGTCCTGCCTGGTATTCTCCTCCTTTTTTACAGTACTAAGTAAGTGCTGTGATCCTACATTGATTGAAATGAGGTTTCATGCTGCACTTCAAAGCGAGGAAAAGACATGAGGACACTCTTTAGATTTGAGAGGAGACGGCAGCCTGTGATGAGAAACTTGGAAATTAATTTCCATCTCTTCTTCTTTGTGGTAGCCAACTTAAATAACAAAAGTGCCACGGCTAAAAGGACCAGAAGGAGGCTTAATGGCATCCTGTGGAGTTATCCTGCAAACATTATTATGTGTTGCTTCGAAACAAAACACAGTGTTTGTATTTTCGGGTGAAAAACAACATGTTGAATGCATTTTTCTTTTTATAAAACGTGTGCATAAAACATAAGCTCATCATCTGACATGTTCGATCACAACCTACTAGCTCCCTGTCTTGTCCCGATGGGCTGGTTTAAAGCAACTATTCCCCATCTTGAATATGCATATCCAGACTTCCTGTGTACAAGACGAGGGCATCAAAGTGCTTATCAATTCTGGAAAAGCTTATGTCGACATTCCTTACCAATGCTCAAACGGTCACAAACATCTCAGCATGGATGATAAACCCAACCTCTTGTTGTAACATCATAAGCATTTCTCTTCATAAAATGTGTTTCACGTACTTTTTCTTTATTTGTATCTGCTCAGATGTACGTTTTACCCATGATGTTGTTTCAGAATAGGTATGCGTTGTCTGAATATGATTACCTTAAGTCAAGATTCTCTGTTAATATCGATTGTTCTTATCTTTTGTTCTTAACAATTTGATTAGTATTCCAACTACAGAACCTGTAGCTATAGAAAAAATAGTGTTTGCTGTAAGGCTCCATTTCTCAGTGATGCTAATCTGTCTTGATTCAAAGCTCAGCTCTGTTTCTCTTCTGAAGAACAGCTGTCCATATAGCTGCATGTTCCCACATGGTCAAAACAGTGTGGACATTTGCTGCATTTCTCAAGAGAGATCTTCCCCATATCAAAGGATGAGTATAAGTAAGATGTGTTACCTGTTTTAGTGCTCGCTCTATCTCCCCTCCCTGAGCCCAGGGGACAGCGGGGTTGGCCAGGCAGTCCCCAGTGTTGGCCCTCCTGGTGAAGTCGATGCGTTGCTTGTGCAGGTAGCGGAAGGCCTCCGTCATCACCTGCACGGCGTCGTAGGTCAACGCTGATGTGTACTAGAGCAGGACAAAGACAACAGATATGGAGATTGGGGTTGACAGAGAGGTACAAATATCTATCAATATATAGGTATCAGCTTAACCCTTGCTCCAACCATAATGTTTACTCTCGCCATATGCTGATATTGATTAATCCTTGGTGATTGATTTTAGTTGTTGGTCAAGAACGTTAAAAGCAATTAATCAGCAATACTGATAAAAAAAAATGTTTTTAAAGTTAGTTTGAATCTACCATACATTCTCACAAAGCTCAAAATCCTCAAATAAAAGAAGTCCATAACAAAAACACAAAATGTACTCCTGATTGACTACTTTGGCTAACATGTGTTATTGGCTCTGGTCTTTTGACGATAACAAAGCTCCACGGTGTTTTCACCCGTATCCTTTAGGTTTACGCTTTGTCTTTCTTGGAATAGCAGTGAGAAAGGTAAATAAGACCAAGAAATCACTGAATGTGGTGTCATTAAACTGCAGACACACAGGCACAGCACGCTCTTGGTTTACCAGCACAGCTGGTCAAAGATTGCTCTATAACAGAGAACATCACTGCTGAGAGAATAAATGAAGAAGTTATTTCCAAACACTAAATTCATTTGGAAAAAGAGCAGACCTCTGGAGTCACATTTTGCTACAATAACATGATTTGCTCCAATGCAGATGGATTTATGACTTGAAGCAAACTACATAGATAATGTCAGGTCTTTGCCTCAAGTCAAACTATGGATCTTGAACACAACTTCGCCTCAACAATGTTTTACAGAATAATTAGATGACAAAAGAGGTTAACTCTAAGGTCTAACCTCACTTTCATGTTAAAACAAATTATAATGTTGAACATTGAACACTCACAAACCACACGTCCTGCTCAGTATTAAGGCACGTCTTAATTAGAGTGCATATTTTATTTTGATAGTCTTTTTAATTTTTCAGATGTATTTTTGGTCTGTGCTGCGATAGTTTGTTCAGCGTTGTAAATGTCAGAGTGATTTTTCACCCGGACTTGAACCACTTTCGGCAGCCTGGCTGTGAGGTAATAAAAAAGATCCTGAACTTTCACAATTGTTCAGACAGAAGGTGCTGGAAGTTTTTTGGCGGAGGCTGATATGTCAAATGCGAGTAGTTTACAGTGTCTCTTGAAGACACAGAGTGGGAGGCGAGTTCAATTCTGAGAGATTATACTATATTAGTAACATCGAATGGCTGGTATAGGAAAAAAAAAAACGTCTTGATTTAATATCATAAAATCCTTATTCAATTGACATTGCGTGCATATTAAATAATATCATTTGTATAAGACATGCTAGCACTCATGGGAACATGTATGTATCGTTGGGTTACAGAGCAGAATGATCTTTACTCAGAGAGGTGTTTAATAATGCACACACAGTGCAATGTGGTCATAACATCGGTTGTGGTGACAGCATTGTTTACTTACATTAGAGCAACTGAGGCACATTAAAGTGCTTACAAAGACACTTTCACCAACAAACCTGTCTCGCAAATAAAGAAAAAGCAACGTGTGTGAATGTTTAAACTCACCTTTATTTTACTGTCAGCACCAGGATACTCCTTTTCTTCTAGGGCTTCCCATCTCTGGTCAAACTTGGACACCAAAGGATCCTCGAAGTCAACAATCTGAAAGCCCGACACGTTGGCACCGCCATACTGGATTTTGGTTAGGTCCCCATCAATGAAACCCTGATAACACAAAGATTAGGCCTAGATGTAATCTCTCAATCTGAGGTATTTTAGAAACATTTAAAGTGGTACCAAAATCTTGGACAAATGTAGAACATGTGTTAACTTACCAGATTGGCTATAATGTAGTGGTAGCCTTTAACATGTCTGCCAATTGTGATGATCTGTAATTAGAAACATACAAAATAAGCTCAAATAGGATGAAGAGTGGCAAGTCTCGGGTAAACAAGATGGCAAAACAAATACCTATCAAAACTGTACAAATTTGAAATGATATTCCGACATTATAATTTGTCACTTCCAACCCAAACATGGCGGACATTCCTAACCCTTATCACAAAGGAAAAGACTATGCTGTTTACTGTACAGTCAAATACTGCTGGGCAGAGAGATCCAATTCCAAATAAATTACCCTTATCTGGAGAGCAGAAACGCAGAAAATAGCATGAATATCTCTGTTATGTACCGTTTCAGTACCTCACATAAATGAGACACCTGAAACTAATCCTGTTGCCTGAGTGGCACCTCCGTTTGTCAGGGCTGCCGCGGCTTGAAGAATTTGAATAATAACATTGTTTATCTCGCACGTAAATGTCTTTGACATGAAGCAAGAAACTTCCACCTGAACGGATTCTGTTTTTCCCAGATAAACAGGCAGTGAGGCTGCAGGCATTGATTTAATTCAGCATTCATTTAAACAGAAGTTGGCATGCTTTAAATGCTAATCGATAAGCCTCTCTCCGGGGTAAAGGGTGGAGTAAATATAACCTGTTTATGTGCATCTGTTTTTCCTTTAATTGCAGTTTTGTTTACCGCATACTGTAAATGAACAATTAGTATAATTGTTATGGTGCCTTTCTACATCTGCTGGGCTGCTGGGTCCTTGTGTCAATGTTGTTTTTCTAAGTGCCGTATCAAATGAACCCATTTTGGCTGAATATCACTTTCGTCCTACAGTAGTAATTCAAGGACTATGAGGTTGTTAGCATTGCCTGCAATCCCTGCCGGTAATTGTTATTTACACTTCCCAATTGTATTCCCACACAATAAGATATTCATATTTGCCCTTCTTCTTGGCCGTTTTCCAATTAAATATCGTGAAACAGAAAGGAAGGTAGCAATTATGTCCTTGAATTGTTAAAAGGCAAGCTACATTTTCAGTTCAGTTGGACTGTAGTAGACTGTCGTTAGTAAAAGTGTCTTGTTTGTGGATTGCATTTTTGGCTTGACTGAATTGTGATGTATTAAGTGTTCCTTGTCTGGTATGGCCAGCAGCTTATGAGAGCTTCTGTTAGCAAACTGTGGGTACATTGCTGTGTAAATGATGAGTCATTTTGGTGTTTTTATGACTCTTCCCTGCTGTTTTCTACCATCCTGTGAATTTAAATCAAGTCACATTGGCCAATTTCAATCTGTATTAGTTACATAGTCTAATTTAATTTAACAATTAACTGTGTTGCCCAGAATTAGTCTGGTAATTGAACATAGCAAATCACAAAATTAATATGATGGAAATACAAAAAAAGTTGCGAAACTCATATCACACACACTAACATTCTTATATCTAATATAGCAGTGTTGTGTACGCATTGTAAGTACCTACAATATGGATACAACAAAATGAAAAGTGTTGTCTTAACCATTTATTGGGCAAGCTATAGGAAGATCTTGATGCTTTAATAAGCAGATATATAAACTATTCTCTTATTGTTCAATATATGTATAACTCTCATTGATGGTTGATAGTAAAGAGAGAATCATAAGAAAAGATAAAACACTTGCTTCCTTGGATACTAGCTTCCTTGAGATGCTGTACAATTACAGGCTTTGATATGGAAGAGTCAAAAAAGGAAAAACTGGACTTGAACAAACCACAGAGGTCTGACTGCTGACAGCAGTACACCCCCATAAGTGCATTATGTGTTCCAACAACTGAAAACATGGCAGCAGCATCCCTCATTCCTCTACCTGAATCCCAGCTCAGCACCTAACCCGCTTGAAAGTCACAAATGACAGATCAAAGAAAGACAATACACCAATACCAGAAACTCTGTGCTTACAGTGTGGCAAACCTTTCCAAATCATGTCAAGATAACAGTATACTGTAGGTCCTCAATGTTTTTAGAAGATGTTACGGATTTCTTCTTTGTTGCAGTATACTGCCTACATACAGTATATTGCCTTGTACCGTTAAAAGACTCTACACACTACCTGCTCCATGATGTCTTTGACTTTGTCCTGTTCACAGTCCAGGATCACCCTCCTCTCCTTTTTGTTCTCCAAGTCTTGGAACAGAGAGCGGTAGGCCTCATCCTTCCTCTCGTCTTTCAGGTTCCCCACGTTGATCGCTGTCACATGCCACTTCCTCTCTGCCGCTGTGTCTAGAACAACCTGCAGCGTCGTAAGTCCTGAGGGTAGAAATGAAGTAGGATTTAAACATTATTCATACTCTCTGTCTGACTGATTCTTCGTTATTATTCTTTGGTCCTGAAACATTTTGGAGAACATTCAAGTTTTTAGATATATCTTGTTGAGAAAAAGACTACAAATGTTGGGGAAAAATACCTTGGGAATAGGGAGAAGTAGATATCATGCTTTGTGTTTCTGCACAGTTGTTACCTTTTCTGCTCAAGTTATGCATTGAATTCCTGATTTCCCTGAAACCAGCTCTCCTATATTGTTTGTTTGTATTTCATTTTTGGTGGGCATACTTTAAAATCACAGCCACATACAGAATGTAAAGAACACAAAGCAGGGAAGTCATGATAACAGAACAAAAACACCAAAGCTGGAAGCACAATAATATGAAAATAAACTTTCATTACAGACTGTCTGCTCATTCAAATCCTGTGGAGGCTTTACAGACACTCATTTGATCCAAAGCGCTCAACTAGATGAGTCACAGGTATTGTGGAATGAACCGGACCAGCGTGTGGGAGGGAAGTGGCTGTAATAATACACTTGACAGCATGAATAGCGAAAGTTTTAAATGACTGTTTTAGGTTGGAAAACTGTTTTTTTTGTGTTTTTCCTCTCAACTTTTGAAACAGTTTAGTTTGTGAGAAAACAAACTGTACTCAAGGTCACTGTTCACCGTCACACAGCCTTCAATTTCTCTCAGTTTTCTTGCAGTTGCCATGGATTTATACAAACCTTCCAGTATTTCTACCATGTATTGTTATTGTGAGAATGTTTTCTGTGCGCAAAGTCAAGGATGAGATCTCAAGCTCAATATATATGACATTCTAATAGCCTCTGACAAGGGACGTGTCTCTATTCTTGTTTGCTCGATCTCAGTGCTGCATTTGATACTATCGACCATGATATCCTATTGCAAAGACTAGAGCACTTAGTTGGCATACAGGGAACTGCTTTAGGCTGGTTTAGGTCCTATCTATCTGAACGCTCTCAGTTTGTACGTGTCAATGATGAATCTTCCACGCAAACCAAAGTTAGCCATGGAGTGCCACAGGGCTCAGTGCTCGGACCTATTTTGTTCACATTATATATGCTTCCGTTAGGCAATATTATAAGGAATCATTCTGTAAACTTTCATTGTTATGCGGATGATACTCAACTATATTTATCAATCAAGCCTGATGAAATGAATCATCTAAATAAAATTCAAGACTGCCTTAAGGACTTAAAAACGTGGATGACCTTAAACTTTTTGATGTTAAACACGACCAAAACTGAAGTTATTGTACTTGGCCCGAAGAATCTACGAAACAAATTATCTAAGGATATATTAACTATGGATGGCATTAATTTGGCCTCCAGTGAGACTGTAAGGAATCTTGGTGTTATATTTGATCAGGATTTATCCTTTAACGCCCACATAAAATCAATTTCAAGGACCGCCTACTTCCATCTACGTAACATTGCAAAAATCAGGCATATCTTGCCTCAAAACGATGCAGAGAAACTAGTCCATGCATTTGTTACTTCAAGGCTGGATTATTGTAACTCTTTATTATCAGGGTGTACCAAGAAGTCAGTCAAGTCGCTTCAGCTGATTCAAAATGCTGCAGCTCGTGTACTAACCAGAGTTAGGAAAAGGGACCACATTACTCCTGTTCTGGCTGCCTTACACTGGCTCCCTATAGAACACAGGATATAATTTAAAATTCTTCTTCTCGCCTACAAAGCCCTTAATGGGCAGGCGCCATCTTACCTTAAATAACTCATTATACCCTACTGTCCTACTAGGGCATTGCGTTCCAAGAATGCAGGGTTGTTGGTTGTTCCTAGAGTCTCTAAAAGTACAATGGGAGCCAGAGCCTTTTCTTATCAAGCTCCACATTTGTGGAATCAGCTTCCAGTTTGTGTTCGGGCGGCAGACACCCTATCCGTTTTTAAGAGTGCGCTTAAGACCTTCCTTTTGATAAAGCTTATAGTTAGGGCTGATTAGATTCAGCCCCTAGTTTTGCTGATATAGGCTTAGTTTGTCGGGGGACATCTTACTTCTTCCTTCTCTCTGTCTATACTTGTGTACTCTCATGTTCCGATTAACCCAGCTTCCCCAAATGTCTTTCTTTTTGGTGTCTGTATACGCCGGGATCCGGAGTCATGGATGATCCTGCGCTCCTCTGTCCTGGATCTTGAGTCGTGGCTGTGGTCCTGGATCATAGGTCCTGGATGGATATCCTCGTGAATTCATCTTCCTATTATACACACATGCATTTCCAAACATTTGGACTACCTATGTTGCAAATGTATTATCTTTTCAATTTACACACGGCATCTATTGCACGTCTGTCCGTCCTGGGAGAGGGATCCCTCCTCTGTTGCTCTCCCTGAGGTTTCTCCCATTTTTCCCTTTAAACTGTGGGTTTTCTTCGGAAGTTTTTCCTTGTACGATGTGAGGGTCTAAGGACAGAGGGTGTCGTATTGTCATACTGATATTTTGTACAAACTGTAAAGTCCACTGAGACAAATGTAACATTTGTGATATTGGGCTATATAAATAAACATTGATTGATTGATATAGTCAGACATGGAGGAGAAATACTAAAAGAAATAACGGAAAGTTTGAAAATGTGCACTTCATTGACAACTATAAAGCGGATGGTATGCTGACTGAAAGCTTTTGAACAAGTGAGTAAACATAATTGTTTCCAAAAGTAAGACTGAACCCTCAGTTTAGTCAGAGACGATTCCCTTTGACCCCCCTTCCCTTGGCCTTTAGGGAAGTCGGCGATAACTCATCCCTCAATGGCTTCCCACCAAGAAAATATGAATGTCTAGAAGAAGCGCAACTTACCCCTGTTCTCTATAGAAATTAATAATCTTTACATACAAATCAATGTGTGGGCTCACCTGTTATTGTTGACATTTCATTTAGCTAAGGCTTTTATCCATGCAGGTACATTTGCTTAAATTTGCGCCAAACCTTTGTAAGTGTTGGTGCAATAGTTTCAAATAAGCTAAAACAGCTCAATTTCACCATTTTGGAAACAGAATAGCTAACAGGAATATATTTGTTCTACCCAAAAACCAATAAACTCCCAAAACATTAAACTGCATTATATAGTACAGTCAAGAACAGACACATGCTGCCATATGTGAGTAATTCAATGACATGTCACGCCTCTCCATCAATCTGAAGCTTAGACTTTTAAAGGCACTTAAAGAATACAGTCTCCATTTCAACTCACATTCCTATCACTTTCTCTATCGAGTTTCGCAGCTGAATCTCTGCTGATATTGATCCCTGTTCTGCAGTGGGCAGAGGTTCGGATAAAAAGGTGGAGTGTTTCATTCCGCCTTGCTACAGCGAGGTGAATTACAGATGTAATCAATTTCATGTGACACGGCCAGGTTTTATGATGATGGGGAGGAAAATGGAGGCTTGCAGTTTTATCAGAATCAACTATATATCATTATTATAATAAGGTCATTATGCTGTGGCTAAATGTGTCTGTTTCATCAATGTTTATTAAATGAGATAATTAGAACTTGTAATGATTTAAAGGGAAGATAAAGCAAGGACAAAAGCAAAATGTTAGCATAAAAGTTGATTCCGCATTAAAGTTAAATGAAAATCCTAGATTATAAATGTCTTTGAAAGTGTTGGTGCTTTTGAATAATGCATATGCCACTGCATAATGTGGCTCTAAATGGTCAGTAAGTAGAAATATGTTTGTAAATGTCTTATTTTCTGGGTGATAGTTATATTTTGTCGCAGCTTGTTTGGTATATTGCACATATATAGATTGGGATCGCATGTAGCATAGCTGTTTTAATTTAAACACATGGTTTTATGTATCTTTCTTACTAATCTTCACGACATCATCTACTAAATAAAAAATGTTCACACAATATTTAAAAGGAGTACGCAGAGGCAACGATTCCCAGAGCTCCATTTTTGCACTTATAGGATAGTCAAAGAAAGGTTAATTTCCGTTAGCCTGGCAGGTTTTCATTAAAACTGGATGACTTGACATTTTAAAAACGTTGTTAAATGTTTAACCAGGATTCTGAATTAAAGCACAAGGTAACCGTAGCAACACAACACTTTTTCCTCTTCAGTAAAACCCCACTGGTGAAATGGACCTAACCACGAGTAAAAAAACAGCCCCAAGCTAACGGTAACAAATAGATGAAGATTTGAACAGAGTAAGACATTTTACTGTGGTGAGAAACCTTCTGACCGAAAGAACGAGATCGCGGATACGGGCGGCCGAGATGGGTTTTCTCCGCAGGGTGGCTGGTGTCTCCCTTAGGGATAAGGTGAGAAGTTCGGTCATCAGGGAGGGACTCGGAGTTGAGCCGCTCCTCCTTCGCGTCGAAAGGAGCCAGTTGAGGTGGTTCGGGCACCTAGTTAGGATGCCACCTGGGCGCCTCCCTAGGGAGGTGTTCCAGGCACGTCCAGCTGGGAAGAGACCAAGGGGTAGACCTAGGACCAGGTGGAGGGATTATATCTCTTCGCTGGCCTGGGAGCGCCTTGGGATCCCCCAGTCAGAGCTGGTTGATGTCGCCAGGGAAAAGAAAGTTTGGGGCTCTCTGCTGGAACTGCTACCCCCGCGACCCGATCACGGATAAGCGGGAGAAGATGGATGGATGGATGGAGAAACCTTCTGTCAAAAAAAATAATAATATTATCTTTTGTAGAACTCACTAAAAAAGCAATTTATCACTCATTGGCAAAAATTGATTAGATGGGCGACAGTGTTTTTAACATTAAATTCCATGACTCAGTCCAGCTCCATCAAATGAAAACTATAAAGACCCACACTCATATTTGCTGTATTTGACTTTCCAAGACATATGATGAGGCATTTTTGTTTAATTTGCAGCCAAAAAAAACTGGGAGGCATTCACTGACCACCACAAGCCATCGTTAGCTTAGCCACCATAACCACACAGTTTTCCAGAAATATTTTCTTGGCTTACGCATACTCCAACG